ATTACGCATTCAAGAAACGGATTGCCGGAAGTTTTAATTCCTGAATGAGGCGAAATTAGGAACGCTCCGTCCAACAAATTTCCGTACCCTCAACTTGGTACATCTAAAGCGCCGCCTACCAACTAAGCTTTCCGGGATGAAAATTGAAAATATCAAAGCCACCTTGCGGTAATTGCTTTACGCGCGTCGACTTGGAGTAATAGCCTAGCCGTCGCTATATCGACCGTTTTAATCAAATTTACGCAGCTAATTCCACGGGTAACACTGTTAGAAGCAGTTAATAAGCTCTCCGTTTCAAGGATCGATACTGTTGTCACGTCCAGACAACCTTCTGGACGTCTATCAATCTTATCTACGAAGATCTAATCTCGATTTTGTACACCTGTTAACTATTGGTAAATGGTTGTGTTAACCAGGTTTTTTTTCGGCCTGAATTTTATCGAAAATGTGGCAACTTTAATAAAGATAGATTTATTATTAAATAAAATAAAGTTGATTGATTACCTTTTTGTGTTTCAAATTCTAATAAAAATCAAAAAAACATTTTACCGACCACTAAACATTTCACGATCGATTGTTGTCCAGGAGCATATTTAAAAATTTAAATGTTTATCACCGAACTCCGACACGAATGCAGATAATTTGTTTGAATAATAGATATGAACGCAATCGGATTTTCAGAACGAAACATTTTTCTATTTTTAACCCAAACGAAAAGTAATAATAAAGAGAAAAGGACGTTGAGTCGTTGCATATTCGTTTTTCATTACCCTCAGGTTACAGGTGGAGCGAATACTCGACGTAGTAGAAATGAAAATAACATGTTCGTAGTGGCATGACACACAATCGCGGGAAGCATTTTCCAATTATTACTGAAAGGTACCTTCTCTGAATAGATGTTGGTGTGACAGATGCTTTTCTAAAAACTCGTGAAATGTAAATATCATGCAAAATCTTTTTGATATGAACGCCATCATTTAGTTTCTTTTTTAAAATATTTTTTATATACAGGTAAATACAAAAATAAAGTTAAATACGATGTTCAAAATGTTCCATAACCAAACAGGCTGAAGAATAATCGAATTGTTTCTAAAATCTCCTCATTAACTCCAATTTGTTGGCATTGTTGATTAATTCGTAGCTGCAGCTCCGCGATAGTATTCACAGTAGTACTAATCTTTTCAAATATTGCCAGAAAAAGAAGCCTAGAAGGTATAAGTCAGACTGCTATCTACGTGCAAAAGTTTGACCACAATCGAAAAATGAGGTGAAGGACTGAGGTTATTCTCACATATTAAAAAATAACAAAAAATTGACTCACTTTTTAGATGAAGTCTATTGATTAATTAAACAACAAATTTTTTAATATATAGTTACGTAAAAAAGAAAAATGAAAAGTACATAAATCTTTTAAAGTTGAAAAGTCACTCTTTTTTTAAACAGCACATTAGGACGTGATAAATTGTAAACTTGATTTGAACTTGTTTCAGAAAGTTTTTTAAAAATAATAGCTGGTTTCAAACGAGTAATATTTATTGTTTGATTTCTATTAAATCTAGAAATGATGAAATTTTTTAATGACTTTAAATGAACTTGTCTTTTTCTTTTCTATTCAATCGGATAAAAATAATTCTTTATGAATAAATGATTTCGGAGAACAATGATGAACAGTTGTCGTAGGTCTCAGATTTGAAAAAGTTTCGCGTAAAGAAATTAATAAAGGAAAAGTGTCAATAGCGTTATAAATGTTTGTAAGAAATTCACCTGGAAGATGCAGAAGTTGACCATAAACCAGCTCTGCAGATGAACATCCAAGATATAGATAGAATGGAGACCTAAAAGAACTAGGAGGTTCGTGTTTCCAACGGTCTGTATTACCTCTTGCAATAAGAGCAGTTTTTAAAGATCTGTGAAATCTCTCGAGAATACCGTTGCTTTGGGGATGATAAGTCATCCCCATGATAACAATTATTATACATCATTTTCAAGAGAAAGCTTTGAGCTTTAATTTAGAATAAGTTTCATTCCTTAATTTCAATAAATACGGCTTCCAGGAATTTTTAAATTACCGTCTTTTTTGACACTTTTAGGTTATACGAAAATGTAAGTTTTAGTTCAACATTTTTTTTCTCAATATTTTTCCAATTCAACCCAACAATTATTGTACATCAATTTAAAGAGAAAGCTTTAAGGTTTAATTTAGAATAAGTCTCATTTCTTAATTTCTATAAATACGGCTTCCAGGAATTTTTAAATTAGCGTCTTTTTTTGATACTTCTAGGTTATACGAAAATGTAAGTTGTATTTCAACATTTTTTTTAAAATATTTTTCCAATCCAACCCAACAATTATTACACATCATTTTAAAGAGAAAGCTTTAAGCTTTAATTTAGAATAAGTCTCATTTCTTAATTTCAATAAATACGGCTTCCAGGATTTTTTAAATTAGCGTATTTTTTTGACACTTCTAGGTTATACGAAAATGTAAGTTTTCTTTCAACATTTTTTATCTCAATATTTTTCCAATCCAACCCAACAATTATTACACATCATTTTAAAAAGAAAGCTTTAAGCTTTAATTTAGAATAAGTCTCATTCTTTAATTTCAATAAATACGGCTTCCAGGAATTTTTAAATTAGCGTCTTTTTTAACACTTTTAGGTTATACGAAAATGTAAGTTTTATTTCAACATTTTTTTTCTCAATATTTTTCCAATTCAACACAACAATTATTACACATCATTTTAAAGAGAAAGCTTTAAGCTTTAATTTAGAATAAGTCTCATTTCTTAATTTCAATAAATACGGTTTCCAGGAATTTTTAAATTAGCATCTTTTTTGACACTTTTAGGTTATACGGAAATGTAAGTTTTATTTCAACATTTTTTTTCTCAATATTTTTCCAATTCAACCCAACAATTATTACACATCATTTTAAAGAGAAAGCTTTAAGCTTTAATTTAGAATGAGTCTCATTCTTTAAGTTCAATAAATACGGCTTCCAGGAATTTTTAAATTAGCGTCTTTTTTGACATTTTTAGGTTATACGAAAATGTAAGTTTTAATTCAATACCCTTTTTCTCAATATTTTTCTAATTCAACCCAACGATTATTATACATCATTTAAAGAGAAAGCTTTAAGCTTTAATTTAGAATAAGTCTCATTTCTTAATTTCAATCAATACGGCTTCCAGGAATTTTTAAATTAGCATCTTTTTTGACACTTTTAGGTTATATGAAAAAGTAAGTTTTGTTTCAACATTTTTTTTCTCAATATTTTTCCAATCCAACCCAACAATTATTATA